AATTTTTTTTTTAGTGTCAGTAAAGCACTTACGAAATACTTCGTCCAGGGAAGTACTGCCTCCTTACGCATTTCAGCCGCCAAGCAGTAAAGTGAACATTGCTGTGTTCCGGTTTTGAAGGTTAAGGGTGTTGGTGAAATTACAGCAACATGGGACTTGTCAACTTATATCTTAGGGCGACGGGCACAGTGGCTGTGCACCCTCAGGTCTATGCGATTTAAAGCTCTGATAGGCACTGCAACGGTTATGGACAGGCGTGTAGCTTATCGTCACGCGCACGACTTATTCGTCCCGTCACTTGATACTATAAAAAAATTTAATATATATGTTCTAATACTGCCTCTGTGGCCGAACGGTTACCATGCCGGACTGCCACGCAGAGGTCCCAGGTTCGATTCCCGGGCCGGGAGAAATGTTTGTATGTCCTACATTTATTTCTCTCGTGAGTTTGGGTGTAATTTGTGGTTGTCTATGTGTGTGTCCATGGCACCCGCGACACAGGGTTTCCCTAGTTGAGTGTGTGCGTTATTTAAAAAAATAATAATAATTTTAGAGCAGCGCTGGTACTTTGCAGGGTGGGCATGCTACTCTATAGGGAGGTCGTCGATTCGCCCTATACATACGGCGACGTATATCTATGACTTTGATTTCCAACTTACGTACATTTGTGTATATTAAAGAGAAAATACCTCTCGCTAACAGTGAAGGTAAACATCGTGATGAAACCTGCATGTCGAAGAACGTTCACAACCTTTCTAAAACGTGTGAAGTCAAACCAGCATTTGGCCATCGTGGCCGACCATGGCCTAAACCAACGTTATATATTAGTAGCAGTAGAGCTCCTTGTGAAAGAGTTTATCCAGGGAACGGCAAGTACTCCACCTTACCTATTTCTACCGCCAAGTAGTAATGTGAGCATTATTGCCTTCTGGTTTTGAAGGGTAAAAGGTGCTGGTGAAATGACAGGCACATGGGACTTGTCAATTTATGTCTCACGGTGACGGGCGCAGTGGCACCCCAATCTATCGAGGTAAATGTTCTTTGTACTCAATTATGGAAATGCTACTTTTTTGAATCTTAATCGCATATTTCGTAACGTGATGGGAACTATACAGAGCATTGAACATTGGTTTGTTTGAAAAAACAAATATACAATAGTTTTATTTACAATGTGTACCAATTGCGACAACCTAATTAGATATATACTTAATTTTGTTATATCATTCTATCCGATGACTATCTATTATTCAAAGTAGTAAATAATGCGTGTATAATCATAATCGATAAAGTAAACAATTTCTAAATATTGCTCGATGTAAAATCATTTTTAATTTGAGACAATGTTCTTTACTTTCACGTACCTATGGATCTATCAACTTAATGAACGAAAGCAGTAATGTGAGCATTAATGCGTTCCGGTTTGGAAGGGTAAGGGTGCTGGTGAAATTACAGGTCCATGGGACTTGTCAACTTATGTCTCAGATTGACGGACGCAGTGGCAGAGACCCTAAGATCTTTGCGATTTAAAGCTCTGACTGGCACTGAAACTGCTATGGATGGGCTTATCGCTTACCACCAACCACACAACTTGATCGTCCCATCACTTAGGCTATTATAAAATTTTTTTTTTTAAATTTCAAAAATGTTATTTTTTACATTGATTTAAACTTTCACAATTTTCCCACATTATTTGATTTTAAAATCGGGATATAAGCGTGTATTTATATTTGACCTGGACATTTCGGACATGTTGCAACGTCTATGGTCTCAAAGGGAGTCAAAAAAGGAAAGGGTCCCATCGAGACCATGGATGCTGCAAAATATCCTAAACATCGGGATATAATATGTTTATGCACGATTAAGTCGCTATTTTAAAATCGAATCATGTTACTCTTTGTTTTTCGTCATTTTATTACTGGGGGCGCGACGTAGAGACGTGCAGTCATTTGTTTTCTAAAACGTACCAATTGAAAGATTTACCCAACACTAAATACTTTTACACAGTATGTGCATATATAGTAACGTGTTCATGTTAGACGAGTATCAAAATGCACACGTGTAAGCGTTTCAAAATCCGCTAGAAGTTGCATTAAAAACAAAATCCAATCACAGCATATCACAACATACGCGTTCGAGGTCGATATCGCCAATAGGTAATACACGTTATCGCATGGAACAATAATCCACGATAATGGATTAACTCAGCCGGCGAATATTTATAAACACCGCTATCGACTTAATCGGGAAAAGTAATCGATTAGAGTGACACGAATCGAATAGAAGCACGTAATGCTGTCAAGCTGGCTGATAATAGAAATAGTTGTAGTCAATCTTAAGTTGATAGATCCACGTTACGTAAAAAGTAACGGACATTGTCACAAATTAAAAATGAGTTTACATTGAGAAATATTTAGAAATTGTTTACTTTGTCGATTATGATTATACATGCATTATTTACTTCTTTGAATAATAAGATAGTCATCGGATAGAATGATATAACAAAATTAAGTATATATCAAATTATGTTGTCGCAATTGGTACACATTGTAAATAAAACTATTGTATATTTGTTTTTTCAAACAAACCAATGTTCAATGCTCCTTATAGTTACCATCACAGCACGAAATATGCGAAAAAAGTGTAATTTCCATAATTGAGTTCAATGAACATGTACCTCGATAGATTGGGGTGCACGACAGGAGCCTGCCCGCACAACTTTTTTTTTGATACCAAGTGACGGGACGAACTAATCGTGCGCCTGGTGATAAGCGACACGTCTGTTCGTAACGCCACTGCGCCTGTCACCGTGAGACATAAATTGACAAGTTCCATGTGCCTGTCATTTCTCCAGCACCTTTACCCTTTAAAACCAGAAGGCAATAATGCTCACATTACCACTTGGTGGCAGAAATAGTTAATGTGAACATCCCTGGACGAACTCTTTCACAAGGGGTACTACTACTAAACCGTACGTAATCATTTCTTTACTATAAGTCTGGTGCACCCTGAACAATAACAGCGAGTACCTTTCGCCGTTTAGCAAGTCCTTTCACCACAATCACAAGTATTGTAGTATATATCATCGATACGATCAAAAGAAGAACAGTTACTTCAGTTAAATATAAAAAAATATATAGTATAGGAAAAAGAAACTAACGACATTAAAGGAATTCTTTGCTGGTGTTCGAAATAAATGTATTGATATATACTAGCAGCCTATGTCCATTTGAATGATAATTTCGCAAACGAGCAGGTGACCACGGACCGTGGAGTAACTTAACCGGAACAAGTTGTCCCCTCGCTTCAATGTTTCCGCTAACGCATCCGATTATGTAAAATATTATTATAAACAAGGAGCTAAACCATGATTCGATCGAAAGTGTTAATAACTAGTTTAGGAACCATTCATTTCATATTGGTTTTGTGAAGTCTCTACAACTACAAATAAAAATTCTTTAAAAACTTACTACGACCAAAGACAGATTTTTGCCAATCACTTCAGATTTACAAATACAAAAAAGTCACTGTTTGTTTAGCCATAAACGCGTGAGTAAAATAATTTTAATACGACACTTTTTAATTATTTCTTTCTTGCACAGAAAAATATTAGAAAACAATCATAAATAGTTTTCCGTAATGCCATATATATATAGATAGTTTCCAATGTTAAAAAGATTCATATTTTTAAAATTAAGAATTTAAGTAGTGTATAAACCATATACAAGATTCATATTCCTATTTAAGCATCCTTGCTGACATATTACTTATTTAATATAATGATACATTTGCCTCTAAAGTATATCTTAAAGTAACAATAATTATTGGTACTAATTGTCACGTTTATCAAGTAATCCCCGAGTACTAAATTAATTACGTTTTTATGATTTACGTTACGGATAAACATTTTATGAAGCAAATCATTTAAACCGCAGCCAAACCGGAGAGACCAGAAAAATTTGTTTTTAAAATGATAATTCCAATTATGCTATAATTAAGGTAAATTTTTGAACTAATTGCTTGATAAGGTCAACAATGTCAACAATTCATGTTTTATAGAAAACTTTTATTTTGCTTTAGTAAGAAGCAATTTCAATCTTTATTTGGTGGAAGTTACCACAATTAATTCTTTGGGTGTACCTAAATACTTGGAAATGTACTACGTCAATATCCCAGAAATTATTTAATAACACTAGTTAGGTATGTACAATTTTAAGTAAATTATTCTACTAAGTTCTGTGTTAAGCGGCTACTGCTTAAAATTACAATCATGTGTTTATTGTATTTTCAGTATTCCGTAAGCATCTAGTACTATGTTTTAAGCCGTATAATAAATTTATAATTTTTTATAAAAATGAAATCTTTTCTATTTAAATATTTTATTTCATTAATTTTGCAAATACGTTACACCAAAATACAATATGTTATACAACATTTTATATGCCATAAGTAGTCGGAAATAGAGGAACGTTCGCACTTTTAAAATGTTTTTAAAGAATTAATCGATTAGTAATCATATTAACTCGAGTACCTATATAGCCACACTTAACAAATCGTAACTGTAACTTTCCGATAAATACTCTTTATAATTTCAATGCAAATCCAACGTTATCAAGATGAACACGAAAACTTATTGTCTAAATGCATAATTAGGCGATGGTAACCAAAAACATTACCAATGACAAATACAAACAATATTATTGTTAGTTTAGTTCTATTGTAATAGTAATATAGGAGTCATTAAAGAAAGTTTTTAAATTTTTTTAAATGGAGTGAAATAGATAAGAGATTTATTACAATCAAGATTAGAATATATGTAATGTTTTTCAACAATTTCTAATGTACCAATTTAATATAGAACTCTACATTTTACTAAAATTGTATTCGACTCAAAACTTCAACGACCTTACCTGGACAAACAACTTGTAAAAGGATTGACTCTACTTAAAAAGTGTATTTCCACTTCTCCAAAACGTTCATGAAACAACTGAAGAAAAACTTACTTGTGAAAGATCGCTTGGTACCTCCGACTTGACGGTGTTGGCCGCAGCCCACGCCTCCGCAAACGTCTCCATTGCACTCTGGAAGTCCATTTTGCCAATTCACGACATCAACATGCCGAAAATTCACTCAACATGTGCTCGAATCGCGTCGGGCAGCGAGAAACGACACGTGTGTCCCGGCCGGCCGGCGGCGCGCTACTGCTGCTCGGCCCCGCCCAACGCACCGCCCGCACCGTGAAAAACCGATACCTCGCGAGCCTTCCCGTTTCAGCGCTTTTCTTTTTAAGCTGCTGTTTTAACGACTTTTTTTTTCAAAGCCCGGCCCACGGCTGGGCGGACTGAGATTATTTACACTTGTAATTCACGGGTCCCTCGCGGCTAATTTGCTGTTAGATCCGATCGCCTTGTTATGTTGATTGGATTAACAAGGCTTGTTATGATTTCAAGTTCTATTTCAGCTGTTTGTTCAAGTTCCGTTGCTTGCGATATTGTACTCTTTCAAATGAGGAATAATAGTTTTATTAAATGTACCATTGTACTTGGTAAGAAATGAGCCTTTTTAAGAATTTAGTGGGTTTGTCTTTTATTTTTATTAATTTAACCATATATAGTCACTTCCACTACAATTTCCCGTTTATGTATTGTTTGTTATATATGTATAGTAACTTTTAATAGCTGTAGAGCTCCTTGTGAAAGATTTCGTCCAAGGAAGCACTGCCACCTTACCTATTTCTGCCGCCAAGCAGTAATGTCACCATTAATGTGTTCCGGTTTTGAAGGGTAAGGAGTGCTTGGTGAAGTTACAGGCTCGTGGGACTTGTCAACTTATGTATCAGATCTTTGCGATTTAAAACTCTGAGTGGTACACGTGTAGCTTACCATCAGGGGCACGATTTGTTCGTGCCGTCACTTGATACCATAAAAAAAAGGTTGATTTAAAATTTCTTTATTAGAAAATCATGTAACGTAAAATAATACAAAAATATTTTATTCTAATTGTAAACTAACATAATACTATATATCCCTTAGGCTACACACCATTCCGAACACATAGTACGAGTATAAGAAATATTCAATTATCCAGACCATCACAATTGATGCCAAAACAAAAGGTAGGCAGTTTTGCAAACCACATAAAAAAGACGTGTATTGGGAAAAAGCAATAAAACATAACATGACATTTATGTTTTATGTACGTTTATTAATTACGTACCTATTCTGTACTTGTAACACCCTACAGAGAAGTAATTATAAAACTAATACGTCGATTAATTAATTCAAACCCTACGACCAATACATTCTAGATCTCAATTGGAATTCCAATAGCTACTCAATATTGCAATTTATCGAGCTATCAATGTAGCTAATTGCAGTATCCTTGCAAAATGGCGTCGGTGAGAGAGCATTTTTATTCATTATATAAATCATGGCGGCTTCCGCAGCGGGATGTAGGAAAAATTGTCATAGCTTCCCATAATTTTGTACGTGGCCGGTGAACGTTTAAGCGTTATTACAGGAGGAAAGTTAATTTTTCTTAATTTCTCGGGCTTTGCAAAAGATATTCACCCTCTAAAATGGACGGTTGAAATATTGTAAATGAGCCTCATAGTACTATGGAAGGTGTTTTCGTTTGGAGCAGAAGCTCTTGTCATCGTTTTTCATAAAACAGAAATCTATATAAAGTATGTGCTTTATTTATAAAGTATGTGCTTTATTTTTTTTTTATAAAGTATTATAAAAAAACTAACCTAAAAAAATCTATGTGCGTCGTTGTCGTCGTTAAAGTTGTAAATGCCGTCGTTGAAAAACCAAACACAAAGATTCGACGCAAGCACATAGAAAAATTCGTGAGGTCCTCTGGTTCGTCGTGGCTTAGTTGGTATAGCGTCTGGCACAATACGTCGGTTCGAATCCGGCCGGATCGAAGAAAATTTTCTGAGTGTTCGATCTTTGTATTAATAATTATAACAAAACCATATATAAACCATAATACCGTATACAATAATTTTCCTTAAGATTATCGCAACATAACAGAATATAAACAACCGTTAAGTAGGAAGAACCGATTCTGAACACAATATCGAACGTTAAGTAGGACATCGTAGAGGTGTGCTCTTCACTATATAATTTACAAATAATAAGTATTATATATTATAAAGTAATATATTTTTGTAAATATACTCGAAAGCCATTCATTAAAATAGCTTTCGTGTAACATTTACTTACTCTCTATGCCTTTTAACAACACCTTAATCTTGCCGTACCTATATAAAAATCTCTTACTTACATTAATGAAGAAACTCAAAAATTTAATGTAAGTAAGAGAAACATTAAATTTTTGAGTTTCTTCATCGACATACATTAATTTTATTCGTATAAAATTTCTGGAAAGAGATACCCTCTAAGGAATACGTAAATAAAATATACAATATGTTCATATTTTGATACGCATATCTCATCAATATAATCTTAAAGTTAATAATGTAATAACATAAATAGCTAGTACTTATTATCGATGACGAATTTTCAGTTTTATTACAAACTAATAAAGTAAAAGGAAAGTAGTAGAATGGAGCCTAAATCTCTTTACGCAAAATACAATATCATCGCTTGTAATGCACTGAAAAGAAAGTAACTGAATTAAAGAAAACATTGTTTAAGGGGATAATACAACTTGTTTTCATCTGAACCTATGAAGCATAATAATTGCAACAACAAGCAAAATGATTGTAAGGTTATTGCATTATCGTACTAACCTCCTTATTGATACAAAGTATGTACTTGTTACTATTACATCAAAGTAATAATAACAGGTACAGACGAGTACAGCTCTGACAACGTAGGTAGCGTAGTTTCATCTGAAAGCTTTATATCGACCGCCATTCTTTGTTCTAGCGGATAAAACAATGGACTTCTGCTGAATGCTGAAGAACCAATGCGATTGTTCGTTAGTTTGTTGTTACCGATCAGTCCATTAATTAACTTAGGTATACTTTGATACAATTATAGTAGCAGACAATAAATACATTAAATAACTATACAGATTCTACGAAAATAAAATATACTTTACAAAAGAAAAAATGTGCAAAAACATTCAGTATGATAGGAATTGATTCGAAACTGTGACTTTTTACATATATAAACTAAGTAAGTATTACAAACTAATAAAGTAAAAGGAATATGGTGGAATGGCGTCTAAATTTCTGAACGCAAAAAACAAGACCACCGCTTGTAATTCACTGAAAAGAAAGTACTGAAGTAAAAAAACATTGTTGAAGATAATACAACTTGTTTTTATCTGAACCTATCAAGCATAATAATTGCAACAACAAGCGAAATGATTACAACAATAAACACAACGATTGCAACAACAATATTAAGTACCTAATGAATTTAATCAATTGTGGTCGATTAAATTAAGAATTCGTTAAATAAGACTTAATTGGAATCCGTTTTTTTAAGTGTGTCATCCACGTAATACTGAAATACAGGATACCTTTGCTTTCTTTTTAACACTGTGTAACGTCGAAATTTAGTTAAATGATGACTTGTATATTCAATCTTGAAATACTGGAACTTATTTCTTTTGACAATGGATACATAAGTCTGACACAAATATTGCAATACCTGACATTTTGTTGCAGTTTTATTGTGACGTGACTGTCACAATAAAACTGCAACAAAATGCATGAGGATACGCACGTGTCCTGAATTCATCACTAAGTCGCTTTGTATGACCCCACGGTAAACAGTTACAGGTACTGTTACTGCCTGATAAGAAACCCCTCATCATTACGCAGTCAGATATTTAATAGAAATAATAAACTGATGTAAGTATAATGAGTTGCTCGTTTTTGACGAAATGAAAATATTGTTGTCTTAGGGCCAGCACAAAGCGGCGGACGGGAAGGAGGAGGACATTAAATTTGTCAATGTATATTTTATGCTAATTCTATAGTCATAAGGTATAAATTTCAATGCTCTGAAACGTAGCGAGCAATGCGCCGCGATGCCCCGAAGTCGGTCTCCAAGCAATGCAATTTATACCTTATTTCCATCGAAATAGCATAAAATATACATTGACAATTTTTATATTGTCTGCTTTCCCATTCACTGGCTTGCGCTGGCCCTTAGAGGGTCGACTTCACTGGCTCAATCATCAATTTTAATTATATCTTTTCAATAATTTGTAGTTCACCGTATCAATCCAATACACCGTTATATAAAAAAAATCTTGAAAAACAAGCTGCAAAAAGGAGCTCAAGATTTTTTGTCATTTTTGAGATTAATGAGATAATAACATAAAAGATATATTTAAAATTAAACTATTTTTCCGGATCTACCAACGTTTTGGATCCTTTACAGATCCTACATGGTCATGGCTATCTGTGATGCCTGACTAGCTTTGCAGTGTTTTGGTTTAACATGATAAAGTTATTAACTAAAAAAATTTTCTATTCTAAAAAAGAATTTCATAAAAGAAAAATGATGCCATGAACACACATAGACATCCAAATTACACCCAATATCACAAAGAAATTAATGTAGTCCATACAAATATTTCTCCCGGCCCGGAAATCCAATCCGGGACCCCTGCGTGGTAGACCAACATGGTACTTACCATTAAGCCACGGAGCACTTATATTTCGTAGATTAATCGTCAAAAATCTTTATCGTTTCTTTATGACCGATACACATCAGTATTAGACAATAAAAATGGCAACATTATTTTTCAAAGTAACATTTAGAACGTTTGGTTTGACAAAAGTTTGTCAATTCTAAATAAAAATCCGTACTATAGCACACTACATCAAGAGAAGAGTTATTTCGTAATATAACATGTTTAAAACTCGTGTTTGTCCAATCTCGAATGACCAAAAAAACAAAGTTCAAATAATAAAACTACACGTCTTAGTTAAACAAACAAAGTCGATAACTGTATACTCTATTAACACATGAATGAAGTCTTTTATCTTTTTAGAACCTCTGCGTTTCTAGTTGTGACAAGTATAATTTAACAAATTTGTTTTGCTGCTTGTAAATATTTTTTTTTAATACAATACACTCTATTTCAAGGCATATAAAGTAAACTTGTCGATGTTGATGCGTAATGGTGATAGTTTTCGGGTGATGGTCGTTATTTCGTCCGAATTTTAACTCAAGTGCATCCAAAAACTGTGTTCTCGTTG